GATTCAAATTTTATTTATTATTTCAATGAATGAGATTGTTCGAATGAAAAGTTTCTAAAAAAGAACTATTACTTATACTTGTGTCGAGAAACCTTCCAAAGAAAGTTTTCGTATTGTACTTTCGCAGACTTTAAAAAAACCATCCAAAATCATGGTCTTATGCTCGTTTATTTGCTTTCCTTTAAATGAGGCCCTTTGCAAAATATTTTCGTATTATTTATTAATATTTTCGCTGAAAAGGTTAATATTTGCTTTATTTTGTTTCCATTGAAAAAGGTTTTCGCTTAATATTTCTTCTAATCTAATCATGACAGCAAACAAAAATGCAAAAAATAAGGTTTACAATTTGCTTGTTTTTTAACCTAAATAATAATATTTTTAAAAAAAGATTTAAAAATCATTTAGCTTTCCTTTAAGGTGGAAAGGTTGGAAATTGCAATATTTTTACGTCATTGAAAAAAGGTTTTTACCGCAAACCTTTTCGTAACAATGAAAGTAAAGTTAAAACTCAAGGTTGTCATAATGTCACATGCTTTCTGGGAGGAAATTTATCACTTTTTTGGCAATCCTCATTTGGCCATTTTCCACTTGTTTATTACTGTTTGTTCTTGTTGCAAGCTGCGCACAACCTTACGTTAATGTTAGCACCTTTATCATTGTAAACACAAATATTGTTAGCATTGTAAACATAAGTAATAAGTAATCAAATACTACGTTTGCAAAATCTCAAAACACAATGATCACGTTGTGAGTCAAATGGCTTTAAAATACACTGGAAACAGTAACCCGGAAATGTAGGCGGAACAGAACTTGCAGCATTTCCAGTATAGAAAACACCATCCATATGGAACTGAAAAATACATCAAACATAGTTCTAAGGAAAAGCATCATGGAAATTTTAAAAAATATTTTTCTAAAATAAAAAGGGAAAGTATCATAGTATATTCCTGTACAACTGAAAAGGGGAGGAGAGGGAAGGGAGAAGGGCCAAAGGTATAAAACCGGTCTCTCCCCAGATGGCGTATTCGAGCTTCAAATTATGTTTATATGTATATGCGTCAATTTAGATTCGATATTCAAATGTTATATCCACTATATTTAACTATGTCAACCTATGTATATATATTTCAAATTATGTTTTTATTTATATGTGTAAATTTAGTTTCGATATTCAAATGTTTATTTACCCAAGCAAAGCGCTTGTAATTTTGTATTAGCTACCACATCGACTGCTAAATTCAAAATTTTATCACTTTAAACTTATGTAAATTTCTAGATTTATGGGATAGGGGCCGCTGCGCAGCCCAGGTGCCCAATTGTTTATAAATAAAGTAAGTAAGTGAGTGGCGTATTCGAGCGCTGCGATCGCCAATACAATTTCGGCTGCCAAAACAACTCTGAACGGAAAATTAATAGTTTAGCTTCTACTAACTGCAACTTTACTTCTTGGGCAACAGTTCATATTCTAAACATAACAAGCAAGAAATGGCCGCTCGCAATCGTCGTGTCGTGGAACCTGATTTATCAAATGTTGAATTTGATACAAGTGAAGATGTTGAAATTATTCCCACTTTCGATGCAATTGGTCTTAGGGAAGATTTACTTCGTGGTATCTATGCATATGGTAACATGAAAACTCATTATTTTTTCTTCCCAATTAGTCACACTCGTCTTACTAAACGATTTTATCCTTAAAGCGCTCTTTTAGAAAACAACTATGTTTTTAATTGTTTGCACTTTTCTGATACATTTTTTACTCTGTTTCAAAGAGTTAATTAATATTGCCATCGATAAAACTAAATGAAATTTGAACCCTCAATAATCATAGCACAGACTGTCCCTAAGATGCAAGTCTATTATTATGGATGATTTCAGCACTATATGATTGCCGTTTTTGAGACACTTATTTTGGGTTTTGAGTATTATTCACTCTGTATTATTCCCTCTGACTGATTCCATATCTTTCATATTTCTACCAGATTTTCAAGTAACTGTGAACTTAATGAAAATGTATTCTAGTGTTTGATAATGGAAAAGAAATCTATTTATACATTTTATATTGCCTGTTCTGGATTTTAAACAATGTTTACATAATAATGTATTTCTATATTATGCAATAAATCTTAAGTTGAAGTAATTTTATTTACATGAAGTTCTGGTTATTGGTTTGCTACTTTTTTTAATTTCGTTATTCCAAAATATTAAGAATATTTCATGGTACAGTTTTTCCTAACTTTTTTGTACACATAGGATTTAGTGATATTGAGGGGATTACACAATCTAATATTTCTTTATGATATGCATTTGTAGTCTATCTACCACTACAAAAATATCAATTCAATAGTTTAAGACATGTTAACTCGAGTTTATGTTAGGGTACCTTTTCATAGATAATTGTAGGTATTGTCGATAACTTCTTTCCCCACATTGGTGACCGGATGTGATGTAAGCATGCCCACCTTGGCAGAAACGCCTACTTCGATGGATCATCCACGTTGAACAGTTGACTTGCTACTCATGACTGTGGCATATTCAGTCTCCATCACGCACAACATATACACTCTACTGCTAAAGGCAACACACGAGCTACTCTGTGTATTTAACAGAAAGCACTTAAATTTGTATTGTCTTATGTTAAAAAGATTATTAAGAAGATTTAAAAGAATATTAAAAAGATTTTTCTTTAAAAGAAGATGTCTAATGTACAAAACTGCTAATGTTTATCTTTAAAAATGTCTAATTTTTAGTATAATCTATACTATACACTAAATTTGGTTATAAATAAATTTCTTAATAATATCACTGCAGATTTTCAATAACACATGAAAATGAATACATAATATTACAAAAGATGTGAGCTTTCAAAAGTACAAGATTTTGGTTACTATTCAAAATATAAGTGTTTCTTCAAAATTTTAAATTTATTTTTTCTAGAACATATTTAGAAACACTCCCAGAAGCAGAAAGTGCCTAAAACTGTGACGTACGTCGCAGAACAAACGAAGTCCTGCAGAACAATTTGTATCTTGAATAAGAGACACAAATTTCAGCACATTTATCAGTAATCTCCCTCTTCCGTATTGTTGCCATTCTGAGGAGGAAATTATTGAATTAGGTTATGGATATAACTTCTTTATAATATGGGTGTATCAGTTTTAAGCATACAGCAGGAGAAGTCGATCACTATTTTTATCAAGAGAGCTTCTAAAGCAAGCCGTAAAAGAATTAAATTCAGAGATTTCCAATTTCGTAAAGTTTATGACTTTTATATTTTCCATTCCCATTTCAGAAGCAATTTGTGAATCGTTGGGATCCACGATTAACAGAATTGTTTGTAAAAGACCAGATGCTTTCGATGGAGATGAAGAAGTTGTTGGAAAAACAGACCAACGAATGTTTGTGTTTGCAAATGATGCACCATCTGGGCACTTGTCCCTTCGAAAGATTTTTAAGGCAGCCCTTATTTTAATGTTCGGACCTTCATATCATATGCATTTTATTAACAATTCATTCTCATCATCGTCATTAACAAAATTTTGTGCTTCAAGAGTGATTGAAAAAGTAACAAATCAAAAATGTTTGCCTTGGTTTAAAAATAATGTATTGTATCTGTGTGTAATCCTGTATTTTAATAAANTTGACAGTGAGGTTTTTGACGTGACGGTTTAAACCATGGTTTAAACTGTCACATGTCAAAAACCTGCCTACCCTGGCTATAATTAATGAGTAAAAAAAAATTCAGCTTTAGTTATGTTTTTGCTAAATATTTATTTTTGGTTAGAAGTTTTTAAATTTTTTGGACATTTCAAAGAAATGTCATTTGTGTGCCAGAGAAATCATTTCCCCTATTTTGTATCTAAAAAAATCTTAATATGTTTTCATTTTCTATAAATAAGTTCTGAGTCATTTGCTAAAGGTGCAGAAAATTCTGTAACTTTTGTGTCGTTCAAAATTCATTGCTGATCCTCAAAAAGAATATTTTGATAAATTATTATTACAACCACTAAATAATTGTTATAATCATTACATTTTTTCATTTATATATCAAATTATTAATCTGCAAAACTTTTTTTTATATACGTATCTTTTCACATTACTTCTAGTAATTGAACAAATTTATAAAAACTTTGCTTCAAGTAGTGACAGTATAAAGGGGTTTGCCTAGGTTTTTTTTAAATGTAACCTATTTTATGAAAATTTAGACATAATTTGTCATGGTAAAATAAGAAAATATTTTCAAAAATTGTCTTTGCAAATAAAAATCATTCATGAATGGTAAATTTCTATTTATATTTGTCCCATATGTTCAAAAACAATTTTGCTATTGTAAAATTTTGTGCTTAAAATTTTATCCAAATTTAAAAATCATTGTCTGTAGTTAAATTTGAACCTGAATTTATTGAAAACACCCATTTAACAGTACTAGCACTAAAAGTTTTTTTCATTATGAGAACATTTTTGACTAGGTCATGCATAAATCTATATTTTCGACTTTCATTGCCTTTAAAGGCTATAGTTTATTCAATAGAGGTGAAAACATAGTTGTTTGTGTAAATGTAAACTGTTTTTTATTTCCAATGCAATTATTATAAATATTTTTTTGAAAGATGATGGATTTTAAGGAGAAATATTTTTATAGAACGTTTTTAACATGTATCTGAGTTGTTGATGCAATCTTTGTGGCTTTTTTGACAGAGTTGGCAAGGTTTGCGACAGAATGGATTAATCTACGGTTTAAACGTCCTGTCCAAAACCTATTCACTCTAATTATGTCACAATTATAAAATAAATATTGTAAAAAATTAAATTTTAATTTTTCAACAAGAAGCAAAAAGAAGACAAGTTTGTGTTTAGTTAAAAAAGTTTATAATTATTTTTAATGTTGCATTATTTATTCGTATTTAAGGGATAAGGTATTCACTTTTGTTGTTCAGTGATTTGCTGAGCTTCAAAAGCTATAAATCTTTTCCTATTAAATTATTTTCCTTTAATAAGTTATAGCAAATTGTATAAAAGGTATCAAATATTTATTAATATATGTAATTATTATAAATACAATGGTTACACTTATAGAATTTTTACCTTTTACCAATGTTCAAGGTTTTGGACACTTTAAAACCCAAGTGCCTTGTCCAAACCCCCAACCAACACCTATGTGAATTGTTAAATTATGTTATTATATGAATTGTTTGAATGACATATTAAATTAAAACCTAATATACATTTTCTTATAATGATAGGATTTGAGAAACCATCAGCAATTCAACAAAGATCAATCAAGCCTGTTATGAAAGGAAGAGATGTCATTGCTCAGTAAGATATTTATTAATACATAGCACGCATGGTTGCATTCAGTGTTTTTTGTATTATTTTTCAATTTCTAAAAACCTGCATGTGATTTTTCTGTGCAGAATTCTATGAATCTCAAAACCATAAGTTCGCAAAACTCTGCAAATCAAAACTTAAAATCCGACGAAGTTTTGAAACTTTCTACCAAGACGTTTACATACATGTTATTCTTCCGCCAGTTTTACTCTTTTGGTTTGGTAAATTTTTGCCATTTTGAGCGTTTGCAATTGCACTGAACTAATACCGCAATTCTTGTTTACGTGATTTTAATATCAAACATCAATTTTGTATTTACCTTATTTAAAAGTTGCACATAAGAATTGTGCATCATGATTCCCATTTACATGGTTTATAAATTCAATGTCGAGATTCATATTCGCACATTTTTAAAATTCAGCATTTATATTTATGTTCCTGCGGTTGTAAACTTAAAACATTTACTTTCATATTTATATATGATTTAATACACATTGCAATTCATATGCACACAATCTAAAAATTATGCATCCTGATTTGTCTTTACACGATCTATAAATTCAATATTGCAATTCATATTCACATGATTTTAAAATCCAATATTGCAATTCTAGTAAGAAGTAGGTTTTTTTCTTGAATTAGTTATGGTAAATTTGTGATATGCTTCATTAATAGGTAATTTGACTATTAATGTTAGTTCAAAAACAATGTTACATATGAAACATGTATGGTATATAAATTGATATCAATCTTATACACATAAATTTTTCAGGGTTTTTCACTTTCTGTCACAATTATTCCTGGTATATAACATATGATATTTATATTTAAAGTTAAAGGTAAAAAAAAAAACATGAAAAGGAATATAATAAGGATAAGGATTTATAAAAAGGGAAGAAAAATTATTAATATGAGATATTTATAAAAAAAAATTTCTTTCTCACTTTTCATTAATCGTTTTTATATTATTTTCCATGTTTTCTATAGTACATCTACAACTTATTTTATGAGTTCCATTATTTTTCTTAATATTTTTCGTTTTTCTTTTTATCATTTTTGTTTTTATTGTGCTATACATATGTGTATATAGTGTATGTATATATATATATGACTAATTATATTTTACATAATGAGTATACAAGGGTCTATTTAGAAAACGGACCCTTCACAAAATAATTTATCTTTTAATCAGACCTTTCACAAATTTGTTTATTTTCATTATTGTTTTGTTCGTCGAATAAACCCTTCCCGGGGTGTCGGTTCGAGACAAACTAAGTTTCCCTAAGTTTCAATTCCAAATGTAGTATTCTAAGAAAATATTCTTACTTTTATAAACATCGTCAGTGCATTCTTATTAATATTCAATCATAATTTTTTTTTTTTTTTTGTAAATAAATAATTGATCCATTTATGTTTATTCTTAAAATTAATTAATTGAATATTTGTGTAAATAAAAATTAATTTCTGGCAATTTTTTAAATAAAATATTATAAAATGTATGAATTGTTTAAGTTTACTTAATGTGTAACACCTTAAATGTGATACCTTACTTAGTTGTGTTATTTAAAATATGTCAATTGAAATTATTAAAAATGTGAGTGATTTTGTTTCCACATTATTCGTCCAATATGAATATTCTGTGTTGAGCAGTATAGGCTAAATACAGGGTATCCGCGCAACTGAAAAGTCATGAAAAATCATGGAAAGTCATGAATTTCAGTATTGAACAAAATTTGTCATGAAATGTCATGATTTTTGCTATTTTTTTAAAAAAATCATGGAAAGTCATGAATTTAGGTCTCCCAGTGTTGCAAGTGCTGTGCCGATTCGTGCCAATTTTGGAAACCTGCGCCTACATGCTCCAAATTGAACTGGTAGGCTTAAATTGCCCCTATCTGCTCCAAAAGGGATATTTTTCCCTGGGTATCGCCAAGTTACAATTTTGCGGCAACCAAGCTACTGCCATGTGATGGGTTGCTCTGGATTCAGTGGGAAGGATTCTTGCACTCTCATGTGCAACTCTGCTTCATTTTGCAAGATATTCTCAATTTCAGGTTTCATTTTCCACTCTCCGAAATGGAACCGAAACTTCCCTCGAATTTTTGGGGACCAACTAAACATTGCCAAATTTTAATAGCAAAAGAAAGTTTTATTTCTCTTGTTAATTTTATCGTTATTGAAGTGCCGTCGTCTTCGTCAATGGCAAGCTAATGGCCTTCTTGCTCTATTCTATTTATAGAATAGTACCCATGATCTTGGAATTAACTTGGGGACCATTCACTAAGTACATGTTTTCATGTTGCTCCTCAGAGCAGNTTATGTCCTGTTGTTATTTTATCAAAAGACAGATGAATAAATGTTTTTTGTGCAGTATTTAAACTTGATGTATTATGGTAAAGCTTCCTTAGATAGTTTACATATGTCGAGGGGGGTATTGCGTATGTTAGGTATTTCAGTCAAAAAATTTTCAGTCTTGGCCTTTTTTCCAACTTGCACCCATGCCCCGGGTGAAAGAACGTGACTTAACGCTTATTTTACATTCACAAATTATGAAAAGTTTTTTTTTAAAAAAACAGGACCTTTCCCAAAACGTCTGGACAGACCCCTGGTGTATGTATGTATTTTCTAAATCAATTATTAATAAAAGAGGAAAAAAATTTCTAAGAAGTATGTTTTGTTTCTTTTAATGTCGAAACTTAATGCTGGACCACTAATGTTTATATAAAAATTATGATATTAGCCACCAACATGACTAAATGGATCATGGTATTTGACAATAAGTCATTTAATGAAATTTTAATCATGTTATTGGGAAGAAAAAAAATTTATTTAGGTAATTACAATGTCATAGTTTTCAGCAACAATTTTTATTATTTACGCTACTAAAAAATGTTGTATCTTCAAAGCAATTTTTCTTAAAGAATGATTAGATATTATTTTAACTCTTTGTTATAATATTTAGAGCTCAATCTGGTACTGGGAAAACAGCTACTTTTTCCATAGGAGTTCTCCAAATGCTGGAAACAGAAATGAGGGAAACACAAGTTCTTATCCTATCACCTACCAGGGAGTTGGCTGTTCAAATTCAAAAGGTTGAATTTTTATAATTTTCACATTTGAACTTGTATTGTAGTATCTATAAAAAAAAAACATATTGCTTGTGAACTTATTTTGTTAAATTTAATTTTAATCGTGATTGTTTATTGTATGCTTGATTATTGTGTTTGTTATCATGGATCTGTTTAAAAGAAATTTGAGTCTGTTAACGGACCCTTCACAAAATATCTTTCCATAAAAATGGTCCCTTCACAAAATACTTTATCTTTTAATTGGACCCTTGACAAATATAAAGAAAGACTAGAGACGAACTAAGTTTTCAAAGTTTCCCTTAGTCTAAACTCCAAATGTAGTATTCTGAGAAAATATAACAAATATCGCGTGTACATTCTTATTGATATTAATAGATAATTTTTTATTGTGAATAAATAATTGATCATTTTATATTTATTCATAAAACTATGTAAATAAAAATTATTTTCTGGCAATTTTTTAAATGAAGTATTATAAATGTAAGAATTGTTTAAATTTACTTAATGTGTAACAAATTAAAACAGGGTAACCTGAAAAATACAGGGAATTTAAAAAACACCTGAAATAACGGGGAATTTGGAGTTTTTCTTTAGAATCTGGGAAAATACTGGGAATTTTGTTTCTTATTTTTGTCTTTTAAAAAAATTGTGACAACTCAAAGCTCAATCTATGGAATGTATAAGGATGATATTTCAGCTATACTAAACTATTTCATTTACTATAACATTATTTAAGTATGTTCAGCTGTTCCTTTTTTTCTCTATGTGTTTCCAGCAATTTAAACTAGTATCAGGATGCGTAGCGTTTGTGAAAAGTACTTAAAGGTGCTTTTTGGTGGATTTCGTTTTTAAAAGCTTTTAAAGGTGCTTTTTTCAGCTGGCGTTTTTAAAAAGTGCTTTTTTTTCACGAATAATTTTTTTTTCCCTTCAGTGACATCTGGCAGATCCCCTGCATTTCACGAAAAATGGGGTGTTTGCTACGTAATCATTCACACGGACTTCATGTCGTACCCACGTTATGACTTGCGCATACGCGCACACTCGAAACTGAAACCCGAGTNTTTTGTGACTGATTTTGTTTCCATTAATCGTCTGAAATGAATATTGTGTGTTGAGCAGTATAGGCAAAATACCAAATATTTGTATGTTGCCTATCTAATTTAGTAGCAGCAGCAATTGTTAAGCAGAAACTTGTATCTTTTTACAATTTTAAAACTTCTTTGAAAGGTTTTTTTAGCAATTTTTGCAATGGCAACCCTATTTGCACAAATTCATTCCCTGGTTGAAAGAATGCGACTTAATGTTTATTTTATGTTCACAAATTATGAGTAGTTTCTTCACAATTTCACTAAATGTCTGGAAAGACCCCTGGTTATAGTTTGTCTATGGAAAGAACTACCCCCAACACAAAGTTGGAGGCTCTCTGTTGCTATAGAAACACAGGGTGCATAGTGTTTTTAAAAAGTACTTAAAGATGCAGATGCTTATTTTTGATTTAAGTTTCTTAAAAGCCTTAAAGGTGTTTTTTTTTATTCAGGGTTTGTAAAAAAGTGCTTAGTTTTCTATATTTTAAATAGAGATATTTTTTTCTTTGCCATGTCGATTGTCGTTTTAAATTACGAAAAATGCATAATTTTCTTTGCAATATTTACCAGAAACTAGTTATTTTATCATGCTTATGTACAGTTGTTTAAAATGTTTTTGAATTTTATTGATTTTATGCTTATAAATTAAGAACTTTAAATGATAGGGGGGAAAAAAATTTATGAATGCACAGGTCGTAATTATGAATTTTTTTTGTGTGTTTAAAAAGTACTTAAAAGGTGCTTATTTTTTGTTGAAAAATCTTGCTACATGCCCTGAAACAAGAATAGCGCATTTCAGGGAGGGTAGCTTTGCTAGCACAATATACTGGAGACAAAGATTCCTGTTGTAACATGAATATTTTTAATGCTGACCCATGTCAAAACCTTATGTGATAGTTACTTTTATGCTTAGTTAGTTATTAGTTTACTTAACTTATGTGGCAGTTAGTTTTCTTTCCACATTTGTGTAAAAAGGTTGGCCTTCCAGATTGTAAATAATAAAATGCATCTTGATACAATGAGATGATGAGATATGATATGATAATAAAATTGTGAATAATAAGATAATAAAATGCATATTGATTGTGGGAAAAATAAGATTACATTTAGTGATCTTTATTTATCTCAGAACATTGATTGGATTTTTGATGTTAAAGACTAGTTTTTGACTTTGCTTATTAATAGACTGTCACAAACTTGAAGGCAAGTTATCTTCCTGTCACTGGGAACATTCTATTTCAAGTCGAGCTGCATAAATTTTGCTAAATGAAAGGGTTGTAACTAGTGTCTAGAGTTATTTTGTGATATTTAAGATTAATATATTGTAATATTTAACAGTTAATTAGGTATAATTGCTCACAGAAATTTTTATAATTAAGGTTTTGTTTTTGCAGAAAGTTTTTCATTTTATCTAATTCTGTCATAGAGAATGATTTCAGTAACTTAATCAATGTGCACTTCATTAAACGTCATACACTTCATTAAGCATTTAGAAGATTGATAAATAATTAAAATAGTCTTTCTCAAAGCCATTTTTTTGATTTAATCCTTTCCATAAGATTCACTAATTAGCGTAACAAGCTTTTACAATCAGAAAATTTCCTTTTCGAAATAGACTTCATTTTCCATTTTTTTCCCCCAATTTAATTACAGATCTAGCAGCATGTGCAAAAAATAGGAATATTTACTAATATCAACCCTACTTTCTTTTCTTTCTTTTTTTTTAAAAAATTATTACATAAAGTTGTGTATCTACGACTACAAAAGTATAATTCCAATTCATTGGTATATAAGACATGTTAAGTCAATTCTATTGTGGGGTACCTTTTCATATATGAAGGTTGACATGGTCGTTAATAACTTTCCCCACAATGATATATCCTGCTGCATTGATTTGTAGAATTTTGAATACAATGTGTGGAATAAGAACTGAAATAACTGTTTTATGAGCAGGTTATATTAGCCCTTGGAGATTACATGAATGTTCAGTGTCATGCTTGTATTGGAGGAACAAATTTGGGAGAAGACATCAGAAAATTAGATTATGGACAGCATGTGGTTTCTGGTACACCTGGAAGGGTATTTGGTATGTATCATTAGTTTTTCATTATCCTGAATTCTTGTGTGTGTGTTTATGTATATATAACAGAAACTGAACTGGGAATTTGACTTTCTAATGACAAAGATCTGTGTTTTTTTTTTTTTCTTTAGTTTTTTTAAAGGGTGTTTCACCCTGCCATATTTTTATATCGCAGATACGACCTGCTTCATTCTTTTTTTATTTTATATATGTCATGTGCCCATAACTTAAGTCTAACAGAATCACTGATAACACATGCAATAGGATCTGTTTATGCGATAACTAAAGAAAAAATATAAAAATTAAGCCAAAAATGAAATGCAGAGAAGCCCCCTTATTCCCATTTATATTTTTGATTTCAAAAAGCTTAATGTATTGTTTAACAAGATTAATAAAACATGTAAACTTTTGAACTTAACTAGTTCTTTAATCGCATTTTGTAAATAATTTTAAAAACTATAACATAGAGTTGGTGGTGATCTGATTTAATTTTAAAAAAGTTAGAGAAATTATGTCTTAATTTACTCACATTAACTTATTTTTGCATATATATTTGCAGAAATATTTTAAAATTACCAGGGTGGCCACCCACCTGGAAAACCTTGAATACCTGGAATTATCAGGGAATTTTTTTTATACCTAAAAAAACCTGGAAAAGTCAGGGAAATTTAGATAAAACCCTGAAAAAATCAGGGAATTTTAAAGAGAAGCTGGAATTTTTTTTAGATTATCTTAATTTAAAATATTTTATGATCCGTTAAACTGACTTTTTTTATATAGAAATTTATTGCCAAACAGTTGAAATATCAACTTAGCAATATTTTGCATGCATCAAAATTCGCTCCATTATTCCCTGTTAAACTAGAATGCCACATAAAACCCGTGATTGCTAAATGAATGGAGAAACCTTTTTGGAGACAGTTTAGGAAAGGCAAAGATTGCGGTGGGAATTGAAGAGGAGTTAAGATATTTGCTTCTGTTTATAAAAGTAGCATTTGTTTCACTTCTAAACCGTGGGTTGAATCCATTTATTGCTTGTTCCGATGCTTTAAGTTTTTTTCTTTCTTCTGACTAAATGGTTAAGAATGTTTTAGTACTTTTAATTTCATAAAATTCACCACAAATTGGTTGGTCATAATTTAATAGATTTTATGTTATACTCTTTTTCTAAAAGATTTTGTACGCCCATCCAAATCTGTGAATTATTTTTTCTCAGCAAAGTCAATCAAATGACATATTTTCTTACAATCACCAACATCATTGTTTGTCAACAAATTGTACAATTTTTTAAAAAAGGTTCTTTTAAGGATGAACCATATGTTAACATGGTTATATTAACATTTTGTTGCTAAATATTTGATTTTTAATTCAAAATTTGACAATCTGTAGTGATAACAATGTCGAATGTTTGTTAATGTTACTCTTTTTCCAGAGATGATTTCCTGAACTGTTTCTCCTTTTACCTTGAGAAGCTGGTAAAAATTAGGGAATGTATGGGAAACATGTTAAATGTTGTATAAACAGAGGATATAAAAAATTTTATTCATACGTGTTTATTAGGAAGAAGGAATGAAACTGTCTTTTTTTTTTTTTTTTTTTTTTTTTCATTGTGCAGGTTTCTAGTTGTAAAAGCAAGCAAAAAAAAATTAACTGATCTAAGCTAAAAAAATCATTTAGTTAGATAGGAATTCTTTAAATATTTTAATTTCGAATTAGAAAAGAATAAAATATAAAGAATTTATCTAGTTTTTTTCTATGAGATATGTAATAAGAAATTTGACAATTTTGCCTTTGTGACATTAGTTTTTTAATACTGCTTATCGTGCTTGAAAACAACATTATTTAAACATTTGACTCTAGATATTAGTTTAAGGAAAATATGATCAGTGAACTTTACGAAGAGTACTGTTTGGATTAAATATAAATAAAATAAATAATAAAATATAAATAAATATAATGTAATAAATAAAATGTAAATAAGTATAAAAAGTTATTCATGCATAATCACCTGAGATTATTGTTTCTCTTTAATTATTTTTTTGTTTAATGAAAATTAGGGATGCAGCAAATATTTGCTTACTATTCGGCATTTGGCCTGTTTGCCGAATGTTCGACCAAGTATTTATTGACAAAGTTTTAATAGATTAAATAGAGTTATCTAAAATAGTATTTTAATTATGCATTATCAGATATAGTCTTTACACATCTTTGTTAAGTTTTTATATTCATGTGCTTGCAAAATTATGTTGTGGAAGATAAATGGAGAAGCAAAATTTCTATTTTAAGAATCTAGATTGTTTTGATTATATCACAGCATTTTATGATTTTATTCTTTTATTTTTACTTTTTTCTAGTATGGTAAGACATATAGCTGGTAACAAAAAAAATGCTGTGATGTTCAGCCTTAAAGTTATATTTTGAGAAATTAGAATGCTTTTTTTTGCCTTTTTTTGTTAACTTTTTATCAAAGTTTTTATTATGATACAGCATTTTTTAAAGAGTGTTTCTGAAGAACGTTATTTTTGATCGCCACTACTTGAAAATGTGTTAAATGTGTGTGTTTCTATGTAGCTTTTTCTTTTTTAAAAAACTTGGGTTTTTTATATCAAGAGTTTTATTATGGTGGAGCAATTAAGAGAGTTTCTATTAGACTTATTTCTTTCTTTCTACCCTTTTTTTAAAATAAAAAAAAAATACATTATAATTGGAAAACAGATGTTCAGTTTAAAATTTGATAGTCCATCAGTTTAGTTTAATTATAATAGATTTTTATTTTTTGCTTCGCTTCTGTGTATAATTTTTTGTGGGCATTTTTAAAAGCTTTTCTGGTAGACTTTTCTTTTAAAGTTTTATGTTTACTTTTTTAATCGGGAAATACTATTTTCAGCATTAAAGTTTTGTCTTAAAAATTAAGATACTATTTTTTGCTTATTCTCTGTTTCTTTTTTTCTTCAACTTCACAACTTCAGTTTTTTTTCTAGCTATTAGTTAGTTTTTATTTATCTTAAATATTTCTAATAGATAACTTTTATAATTTTTTCTCCTTACCCCACACTAATAATATAGCTGAGTTTTGATTAATTTTCAAAAATATCTAAACTTATTTATATATAAAAAAAAAATAACATACATGTTGAAAAAAAAAATTTGAAGAAAAATGCTACTATTCGGCCACCAAATATTTGGTATTCAGACGATTTGTTTAGCCGACTATACGGTATTCAGCAATTCTGCTAAATCACTGTTCATTACATCCCTAATGAAAATATATTAAACAATACTTGTCAAAGTTTTTTCGTAGTCTCTCTGTATTTGCCATTCGGTGTACTTTGTGCAGAAATTACATTCACATTAAACTTTTTTTACTCAATCAAAACAATATATTTTACATGCTAAGCGTATTTTCTCCACATCCAACTTGTACCAAAACGTTAAAAATTCAAAAAAAAATAAAATCTTGCTAAGTTCAAATAAATGTACTTTAATTATTTTTTCATTATGATATATTAATAAAATATAATTTTAAATAAAATACTTTACGATTTTAGTACTTTTGTTGTTTCCATCCTATACTTTATGAAGAAAAAAAATACGTTAACCTTGAAATTTTAAGATTTTTACCTGGAAAAATCAGGAAAATTTGAAACCTGATTTGAGTGGCCACCCTAATTACGGATCACATACATTTATTTAAAGTAACACGGATTCACATTAGCAATTTTACTTATGATTGGTATTATTTTCATGGAAAATTTATTTTTTCATTCAGTTACTTTTAAAATCAAAGCATTTATCGAAACAATAGAAAATTAAATTTATTACAAGATTTTTTTTTTTTGTTAAATGATTTTTAAAAAAAACATTGGCTTAAACTTGCCAACTTTGAATGTATTTATTTATATAAAAATAAGTTCCTATGTGAGGCCTAGACAAATGCTTGCACCTAGATATATTTCCATGTAGAGAGTTTTTAAAAAGTACTTAAAGGTGCTTTTTCATTGGGTGCTTTTGAACAATGCTTATTTTTTCCTTTTTGAAAATTAGATTTTTTCTTTACCATGTCGATTTTGCCTGCTCTTCAGATTGTTCTATTCAACATTTTCACAATTCATTCAGCCACAATCTATTTCAGCGTAGCGTCGTTTCATAGCGTATGAAAGCGAGTGTATCTAAACCTTTCTGTGAAGAACGTCTGAACTAATTTTTTTCTTTTTCGTTGTTTCAGTTATATAGACGTAGATCAGATCAAAGATTTCTGTTGTATATTTAAAATATGCACATGTATGAAAGTATTTTTCATGTTTTCGCTTTATTTCATGAGGTTTTTGTAGTGTACTACAACTACAAAAATATAATTCCACTTCACTAATATATAAGACGTGTTAACTCAATTCTATGGTGGGATACCTTTTCATAGATGAAGGTTGTCTCTGCCTATAACTACTCTCTCCCCACATTGGTGACCCAGACGTGATTTGAACACGCAACCTTCTGGTATGGGGAGATAAAAGTTATCGGCAGTGTCCAAAGGTGCCCCACCCTAGAATTGAGTTAGCGTGTCCTATATATTAGGAATTGAAATTATATTTTTGTAGTAATAGTACACTACAGTTTTTAAGATTATCCTAGGGGGGTTTTTTTATCAGCGGATAATCGACGTCCTACTGTAATTTCTTTAACACTGTGATATTTTAAGATCTTAGCTTTGTATTAAATGCTTGTTTCATCACCATTTCAGATATGATCAGAAGAAGGAATTTAAGAACAAGATCTATAAAAATGCTTGTACTGGACGAAGCCGATGAAATGTTAAATAAAGGTAGAAAGATAAATTCCTTATTAGGTTAAAGAACTATTGATTTTACATGCATGAAAATTGTGTCTTAATAGTATTATATCTTTGAATGCAGGATTTAAGGATCAAATTTACGACGTGTATCGATATCTGCCACCCTGTACGCAAGTTGTTTTGATATCTGCCACACTTCCTCATGAGATTTTAGAAATGACCAACAAGTTTATGACAGATCCCATCAGGATATTAGTCAAACGGTAACAATGAAAATATTTAAATTACTTTCTATTTATGAAAATATTTCAATTACTTCCTATTATATATATTCCATTACCTTCTATCCCCAGTGTCCTCTCAATAAAACTCATATATTGGAGTTTTTTTTCCCTGTTGTTACAACAGCTATTAATATATTTACACTATATAGCTATTAATATATTTTACACATTTTTGAATATTTTTTTCTCAAATTATCCTAACATTTATTTCTAAAAATACTTCAATTACTTTGTATCCTCAGTGTCCTCCCAAAAGAACATAATAGGATTATTTTAAACCTAAAATGCCCAATTAAAACTAGTATAGTTAACCCAATATAGCTCGTTCAAGAGCACAGTAATTGTTGTTTCCTCTTAATATATTGTGTCTAATAAATATGTACAGGGAGAGCACAGCATAGTGCATAGCGTTTTTAAAAAGCACTTAAAGGTGCATATTTTACATTTTTGTTTTTAAAAGCCCTTTTTACATTGAATGTTTTTTTAAAAGGTGCTTAATTTTTCCCTTTTCCAAAATGAGATTTTTTTTTTTCTTTACCATGTCGATTTTTGACATGCGTTAATCAAAGGCGTGCTTTTCACCTTTGTTCAACGTTTTCACTGTACATTCAACCACAATTTATTTCGGAATTTATCTAATTTTATTGAATGTTTCTATCTCTCTTTGTGCTGTCCTCTGTTGTGTGTGTGAATGTGGCCCACCCTATAAACGAGCTTGTGTGGGTAATGTTGCCCGCCTCCGTGACTCTGGTTCTCAGGTGCTCACTGGGTAATGCAAAATGAGTAATAATTCCAGCATTTTCATGGGCAAAAATTAAAATTCAGTGCCTGGCATTGGAAAAAAAATAATAAAATTTATTTCGGTATACTGTCGGTCCGTGGCGTATGAAAGCGTCAAACATTTTACATGTTTGATTAAATACTTTCGAGTCGGCATGTGCGTCTACTGAGCTCGGTTCAGCAAGATTATTGCACTCTCATGTGCAACTGCTGCATTTTGCAGGATATTCTCCATTTCAGGCTTCATTTTCCACCCTCCAATATCAAACCGGAAAATTTCTTGATCATTTCATAATGGCTAATATAATCAGGAATAGAGTTCTTTGTCAGTTACTAGTTATTTTATCATGATCATATAAAGTCTTTGAAAATTATTTTGCATTTTGTTGAAGTATATAGTGCTTAAAAATAATTTTTGAGTGCTTAAAAATTACTTATTTTTTGTTGAAAGATTTGGCTATGCACCCTGCACAGTGAATTTTCTTTCCAGATTTGAGTGGCAACTCTGATTATAGATTTAGAAAATTATTTCATTATATTTAAAATATTAACACCCAATTAAAGGTTAAGTTTTATTACTAGGTTAAGTATTTTTTTTTTTTTTTTTTAAAAAAAGGGTTTTTTCAGCCCTGACTTGTCTTATGTGCTGTCCTAAATTTTATTTGTTTCTGTAATTGTGTAGTTTGTCTATAGAAAAAACTCCCCTCACCACAAGGTCTAAGGTTGTCGTCTGCTATGGAAACAAGAAATAGTGCATTTCAAAGAATGGAGCTTCTCTATACCCTTATTTCCTTTATTTTGCTGACCAGAGCCAAAAGCTTACTTAGATATTGCCACTTGAAATAACCACACCTTGAATGTACCATCAATGAAATGCCTTGTAACCATAGACAGACTATGTGTTCCATTTTTAATTTTATCGATAAAAACAATTAAATTAATTTCACCTTGGATACGTACGTATGAGCAAGCTGAAGTAATTGTATCATTTATGTATATGTTCCAAATTATAATTGTTTCAAAAATATACACCAGATATTGCAGGCTAATAATTAGAAATTCCAGCTTTTTTGCAATGAGCCTGGTTGATTGGTAAATTGTTTGCTTCAGTCAACTTTTCAGGCTTATTGCAATGAATATTCTTTAAATCTTTTTATGTTATAGTTTCATATGAATACTTTTTGTTTTTAATTAGAAGCATTTTTTTTTTCTTAGTGATGAATTGACGCTGGAGGGTATTAAGCAGTTTTTTGTGGCTGTTGAACGCGAAGAGTGGAAGTTGGACACACTGTGCGATTTGTACGACACTCTGACAATCACCCAGGCTGTTATTTTTTGCAACACAAAAAGGAAGGTGAGAATTTCATGAAATGAAGTCAACTTCAAATGACTGTATTTTGTTGAAGAACATTTTTTTAATATAAATGTCTTTAGGTTGACTGGCTGACAGAGAAAATGAGGGAAGCTAATTTCACTGTATCCTCAATGCATGGTGACATGCCTCAAAAGGAGAGAGACGCCATTATGAAGGAATTCCGTTCTGGATCAACGTAAGTGCCATATTTATGTTCTACTATGTTAGAGCCTGGATTATCCACAGTAGTGCAGTAATCCACTTAAATGTGCTTATTTTCGTTTTTTAAAAGCCCTTAAAGGTGCTTTTTTTATTGGGTGTTTTAAAAAATCATTCAGCCACAATCTATTTTGGTGTCCCATCAGTCCATAACATATGAAAGCCCCTATCCTTTTACATGTTTGAAATACTTGCAAGTGCGCGTGTGCATCTACTTAGCTGGTTTCGGCGAGATTATTGCACTCTCTTGTGCAACTCTGTTGCATTCTGCAAGATATTCTCAATTTCAGGTTTCATTCAAACCAAATGCATTTCCGCTTACCATTGCTCTGTAACATATTAAAGTGTCAATCATTTCACATGTGTGATGAAATGCTTGCAGGTCTGCATGTGCAAATACTGAATTGGATTCAGTGTGGATTATTCTTGCACTACCATGTGCAACTCTGCTGAATTTTGCAAGAGATTCTCAATTTCAGGCTTCATTTTCCTTCCTCTGAAATCAAACGAAAAAATCTATATATTTTTATGGTGCATAATGTAATCAAGAAAAAGCGTTCTATGTCAGAAACTATTTATTTTATCATGATCATGTAAGGTTTTTGAAAATTATTTTGCATTTTGTTTATGAATATAGTGCTTAAAAATATTTTCAAGTGCTTAAAAGGTGCCTATTTTTTGTTGAAGGATTTAGTTACGCACCCTGTGCAGATTATTAGCAAGTTCTGTGAGCAGATCTAAAATGATACAGGGATGCCACTCCACATGAAATTTAAAAATCTCCTATAATAACGATGAATTTTGAGTTTTTCCTTACAAACTGGGTAAATACAGGAAATTTTATTTCTTAGCTGTTCCTTCATTTTTATTTTCCCAGAAATTAAAACTATTACAGCTAGAATAATTTTGGTCACTCAAAAGTAGAGTGATTGTCTGTTTCCTCTTAATATATTGCATATGTACAGGGAAAACACAGGGAATTTTTTTTCCTTCCAGATTTGCGTTGCAACCCAGAGATATTAATCACTATTGTTGGTACTTCTATGAATGTACTGTGTACTATTTTTTCTTTATCATTCATTGTTTCGGTGATTGAGAAAGAATTCTGTTTAATGTTTAAAATATATAAACATATATGAATACATTTTAAAATAATTTTTCCTGTTTCTGCCGTATATTTTGAGTTTTCTTGCCATTCAATTCTGTGCATAATCAGGGCTCTACTGAACTTCTACTTGATTTTGTAATTCAATAGGCTCAACTGCCTAACAGATTACTATTGGGTGCATAACGTTTTTAAAAAGTGCCTAAAGATGCTTATTTTTGATTTACATTTTTTAAAAGCTCTTAAAGGTGCTTTATTTATTTGGGATTTGTAAAAAGTGCCTAATTTTCTTTCTTAAAAAGATTTTTTCTTTGCCATATCGATTGTCGTCAAAAATGGAAGAAAAAGCAAAAAACAAGATTATATAAAGTTTTTGAAACTGTTTTTGCATTTTGTTTCTAAATTTAGAACTTTAAACGATGGAAAAAATATTTTTTATTACTGCACATATCCTAATTATGATTATTATTTTTTTGGGGGGGGAGTGATTAAAAATATTTTTTGAGTACTTAAAAGGTACTTTTTTTTTTTTTTTTTTTTTTTTTTTTTTTTTTTTTTTTTTTTTTTTGAAAAATCTGACTTCTCAACTTTGTGCTATGTATTCGGTATTTATATTGTTTGGAGATAATTATCTATTCCTCTACTCTAGATAACAATCTACTGTTCTGTCATAAAATTCTTTCGTGATTTTGTAACTTTCTGCTTTTTTTTTTTTTTTTTTTACTGTGTTGGTTTATCAACTAAGTTTCCACCATTTTCATAAATTTTAACTTTTGATTTGTCCTTAAATGTTTTTGGCATAATTTTACAAAACTAAACATTATCTACTGGAATCTGTTCAGATTATTAAAATGAATATAAAGTTGAGAAGAGTGAGCATTTTCATCACCTAAAGCCACAAAGACTGCTCATGCCATTTCTGTTTATTATGTAGAGAGTACCGTTGCCATACCCTCCAACTTATGAGGATTTTGAAAATAATTCTTTCTAGTGGTAGCGAACCAAAGTAGAAATTATTTAAAGCAAATGGATCTCTCATAAAACTTTTATCAGAACTTAAGAATCTAGCCATATGGCCTGCACTTTTATAAGTAATAGTGGACAAGTTACGCTATAATTAATTTTTTTTAAATATTAAGACATTAATTTTGCTACCGTCTGAAAAGAAGATTTCTGAAACTACGGAAATTCCGTAGCAGTTGGAGGGTATGCGTTGCTTTAAAAAAAACACATTCATGATTGGTGTGCTAAGATAACACAGAAACATTTTGATCTCTGAGCACGCCTTCTTCTGGTTGTCCAGTTGAGTTCATTAAAGAGCAATTAAATCATTATTCATTCTCTTTTTTTTGTTGCATAATTTATGTGCATAAAAATTTTTTAAAAAGTGTATTCATGATCGTAACCAATTGAATTGTGTTTTGTAATTAAAAATGTGCTTTTTCGTCTTTCAGGCGTGTTCTCATCACAACAGATGTGTGGGCAAGAGGAATTGATGTTCAACAAGTATCTCTTGTTATCAACTATGACCTTCCAAACAACAGAGAATTGTATATACACAGGTAACATTTTTAAATATGTTGGGTGAGCCCTATGGCATGGAGCTCCAAATTCCTTCAACTTTTAATATCCAAACCATGGGCTCCTAGCGTGGGCAGTAAAGACTTTTAGGGGGTGTTGTGTGTCAAGGGAAAAAGTTTAGGTATTTGAGAAGTATTAGTAATTTCTAGAGACATAAATGAACAATAGATGAAATTAGTGCTGAGTACAGGGGTGTGTAACCTGCAGTTCATGGACCATGTGCTGACTGTTGATGTGTAACCGGCTAGAGCTTCTGATCACTCTCAATTTTTGTCATATTTTTTCCCGAAAGATATTACTTTTTTATTCTTTCTATTATCACAGACTATGTTGATTTGATATTTTGTTTGTAATTATCGGTGTAATTGCCCTAATTTGAATTGACATGTTGCCACCAAAATAAACAGACATCTTAAATAAGGTTAAATTAGAGAAATTTTTACTTTAATATTTGGTAATTATTGCTTTCATTAGCCTGATTGAAAGTTATGCTTAAAAAAACGGGGCCGTCTTAGTAGCAAGCAGGGCCCCTGTAATATGTGAAACTGTTTAAAATCAAACTTAAAAAAATAGTGAGTGGAGTCCCTCCTTGCAGAAGAAGTTAAACTTCGCAACCTGCGACGTTAATTGTAGAAGAATTAGCAGTCGTAGAAGGATCACGAGTTCTGTACAATGACTTTTTCCTGCTCCATTCGCTTCCGTGCTCTGTAATCAGGGTAATATTGTGCAATTTTCCCTCGTGGACCTCTTGAACCAGTGGAAGTGCTTGTGGTTGCCTCATCGTCTCGCCATGGAAAATGTATTTGTATTAATAATGATGTGAATGCGTCATAACGTAATTTCAAAAGAGAAAACCTAACAATCAATTGATATTCACTAGAGACGTACCTTGACATAACCTTAAATCCGTCGCATTGTCCGGGAGATTGTTTTCACTCATTTTTTACAATTGTTATCCACTAAATTTTAAAATAAAAAATACTACCCTATTAAATTATATGTGTATCAAAACAAACTAAAAAAATATTTATAGGAAAGCAATACTTTTATGACTTTTATTATTTTTATGCTAGTGAGAACCAAAACAATATGGAAATGAATGAGGGAAAACTGGATCCTACCACGTGATTTCCCGGCCAATAAAAATGTAGCGTTAAACGTTTACCGCAACCTCGTTGGGAGTCGCATAAGAAGTATAACTTCAAAAAATATTCACATACATAAAACAAAGCATTTTTCAGAAATGCTATCATTTTTAACAAATTTAAATACATTTTTATCACCCAAAATACTCAATGCACATAAAATAAAGCGTCATTTTTAAAAAAAAAAAAAAAAAAAAAAAAAANAAAAAAAAAAAAAAAAAAAAAAAAAAAAAAAAAAAAAAAAAAAAAATATGCTAACCAGTTGCAATCTTCAAATAATAAAATAGTTTTCAAAACCAGGAAGCTAATTAAAATGAAATTAAAAAAAGGGTATAACAAAATAAAAAAAATTAGAAGGTACGAATTATTTCATCACACTAGTCGGGCATAACCAGTTTAAACAGGGTGGCCACCCACCTGGAATTATCAGGGAATTTTTTTATACTGGAAAAAACCTGGAAATATCAGGGAAATTTAGATAAAAACCTGGAAAAATCAGGGAATTTTAAAGAAAAACTGGAAATTTTTTTCTTTGATAATTTTTTTAATTTTACTAATTTAAATTATTTGCTAATTTTCTTAATTTAAATTATTTCGTCCATTATCCCATTTTTTTTAAACGGCAAACAGTTGAAATATCATCAACTTTGCTTGCATCATGCTTGATACTTTGCTTGCATCAAAACTTGCTCCATTACAGTGTTAAGCTGGAAGGCCACATAAAATTCTCCCACTGTTGCTAAACGAATGTAGAAACCTTTGACCGCTATGGGACTGTGCAATTTAGATAAGATTCTGGTGGAGGTGGAAAAAGGGATTAGGATATTAGCTTCTGTTTTTAAATTCTGTCCTTGGGCTGAATCCATTTATGGCTCAAGTTTGTTCTGATGCTTTGGTGGTAATTTTTTTTTTCTATTTTGACAAAATGTTTTTATATTTTTAACTTCATAAAATTCTCCAAAAATTAGTTGGTTATAATTTAATAATAATAGATTTTGTATTGCACTCTTTTTCTGAAAGCTTTTCTACTCCCATTCAAAGAAATCTGT